AATACAACTTTCCTTATCTTGCGTAATCTCCAACAATACACAATTGGATTCAAGGCAGAGTTTGTAAACACAACTGTTGAAGACAGCGATCTTGCGACAGTCGCACTGTTATTTCTAGAACTGGAAGTCGCAATGTAGACAACCAGATAGGGAAAATAGCAGACAAAAAGGACTACGAAAACAATAAAGGCGTTAAATGCCGATTTATGAAGTCTCTTCATGTTAATTATAGTAAGACGGTTTTCGACGGCTTGCAGCTGAACACCAATCTCAGCTTGATGGCGACGAACGATTTTGTACATTTTAACGTGAGAAATAGTGGAGGCACTTAGAGAAATGCTTACCACAGATGCTATTGAAGCAAATAGTAGTCTTTCCTCCCAGAATTGGGAACTTGCCAATAATAAGCAAATTGACCAAATTGCCAATAGCAGACGGCTTATTCTGTACGTTGTGACAATACTTGGATATCGTAAGGGTTTTTGAACAGCGATAAGCCTGTCAATGCTAATACAAGCTATTGTACATAGTGACACTCCACACAGGTAGAAGCCAATTGTGTTGTAACAACGACGAAATGTATGTTTAAATCCCTGAGACTGAACATACAACTGAACCAAAATATCTGCTATAAAGAAAGGTTGCACAAGTGTACCAACAGCGAGATCTGATAAAGCCAATCCACAGATAAGAAAAGTTAGTGGCGATCGAAGAGATGGCGTTTTCCGTATTGCGTGTAGAACCATAGAATTCCCAATAACAGAGGTCAAAGCCAGAGGGATGTTCACGGCAACATTTGTTAACAGAATAACTCGTTGAACATCATCTTTCATAGCTTCTCTTTAAAATTGTTCTGGGTAAGTCAAACTTTAAAACAGTTTCTTATGCTTCAAGTTCTGTGAGTTATTTGTCTCTTTTACCTCTTCCGGATGATGTGATTGGTTTGACAGTTTCTCTCAATGCGCTTGCGTGGTTTTTTATGAACTGGAGGACACTCTACTGTTTCCAGATAAAAAGCTTGTCCAAATATTCAGCAGAAAACAAAGAAGACAGTTGTCGCCCTAGACGTCTACTTTTGAATACACTTTCAGTGTTAAATAAACAACTGAATTTTTTATGATTCTCGGACAGTCCTCGCCTGGAAGGCGTCTTTCCAGGCCTTCTTGGTCAAATAATTTCACAAATTCGCTCGGACCACGTGACCTGAAACGCATAGGCAGCGCGGAATAATGACCTGGGGACTAGGCAAAGACTGTCCAAGGAAGCAGGTGAGAGTGTAGTATGGGCGAGCAACTTCGGTTCATCAGTTATTTTGGCTAAAACTAGGAACACCCAAGTTTAGTCTTTCTAATGATGTGAAGTATATGAAATAATTCATTTTTGAACTGCGGTTGTAGATGAAAGTGAAGAATGTTCATCGCAGTAAATTTTCCAATTTAAGCAATTGGAAAGAAGAAGCCTGAAAAAAATCAGTGCTTCAACGGGTAGACTAGTAGACTTTCTGGAACGGCATATATAACGGGCATAAAGAGGGGTGTACTATTAATCCCGCGTATACTCTAAAAAGCCGGACTTAAATCACGCTCCATAAAATCTGATATTCTTTTTAGAATTGTCCTCAAACAAGAAAAATCCAAATTTTCTGTTCTTCCAAGGATAGTGCATTCAGAGAGGTGTTTTTAGAAGACACGTCTGGTAACACCTGTCCGTTATAGCAAGTTAGAACGGCGGAAAATATGAGGCGGGGTGATGGGGACCGGAGGGGATGGGAGGGGTGAATGTAATTGTCTCTCTATGTTCCCTGGTCATTTTCTTTCTGATCCTCCTTATGATCATCCTCGGAGACCCAGGGGCAGTTAGTCGGGTCGATAAAATGTTCGTGGTGAATCGGGACGAGCCGGGGCTCGTCTCGATCTTACAGTAAACTTTCACCGCGAACATTTTATCGACCCGATTAACTGCCCTTGGGTCTCCGAGGATGCCTTATGACATGCAGATACCAAAAATGCACAAAACGAGGAAGGCCAAATATAACCTCAATATACTTATATTACGCTTGCGGTTCTTCCCTTGAATATCTTAAGAAGAACCAGATGTCCAAACGACATCTTGCGCACCTATTCTCTTGTTTTTTTTTTTCTTTTCAGCTATTTCTTGGGCTTAAAATGCTGTTGTTTAATCGTTTCTGGAATACCCCTATTTTTGACTTGGTGCCGTTTAATTAAGTGCTAACAAGCACTAGTTTTCGTAGTTATTGTTGTTAATACAAAGAGCCTTTAAATCACTTTACATAGTTCCTCAAAAGTCGGAGAACGGCTTGTCTTATCTCGCGTAGCCGCCAGCAATACACGATTGGGTTCAAGGCGGAGTTAGCAAACACCACTGTTGAAGACAACGATGTTGCGACAGTTACATTGTCCATGTCAGAAACGGAAGACACAACGTACACAACCATGTAGGGAAAATAACAGACAAAAAGTACTGTAAAAACTATGAAAGCGTTAAATGCAGATTTATGAAGGCTTATTATAGAAACATTGTTTTCGACTGTTTGCTGCTGATGCTCAATCTCGATTCGATGGCGACGAACGATTTTGTACATTCTAACATGAGAAATAGTGGAGACACTCAAAGAAATGCATACCACTATCGCAACTGCAACAGTTAGTAGTCTTTCTTCCCAGAACTGCGAACTTGCCAGAAATAAGCAAATTGTCCAAATTGCTACTAATATGCGGCTTATTCTGTACGTTGTAACAATGCTTGAGTATCGTAAGGGTGTTTGAATAGCGATGAGTCTATCAATGCTAACACAAGCAATAGTACATAGCGACACTCCACACAAACAGAAAGCGACTGTGTTGTAAGAACGGCGAAATATATCTTGAAATCCCTCAGATCGAACGTACAAATCTACCAACTCGTTTGCGACAAAGAAAGGTTGTACAATTGCGCCAACAGCCAGATCTGATAATGCCAATCCACAAAGAAGAAGAGTGAACGGCGAGCGAAGAGATGGCATTTTTCTTACTGCACGTAGCACCAAACAGTTCCCACTTACGGAAGCTAAAGCAAGAGGAACATTAACAGCAACATTTGTTAACAGAACGACTTGTTCAATATCATCCCTCATGTCTCACTTTGAAATTATTCCTATGGTTGAGTCAAGCTTGAGTCAACAGTTTTTTTTGCTCCAAGCTCTGTTACCTGTTTTGTTGTTGAATTTATTCCTGGATAGTACGAGTCCTTTCAACAGTTTGTCTCAACGCGCACGTGTTATTTTATGGAGAATGATTCACTATTTTTGTTCCAGATAAACAGATAGCAGATGAATCCCCCAGATAACGGAGATATTATTCTTTAACGCTCTCTTTGGAAACTGAAAGATTTCCAGTAAAAGACTTGCTCGTTTCTGCGTTTTGAAGGAATGAATCATTTATAATAATGAATTTCCGGCCAATACTATTTTTGTTTGTAAGGGCGAAACCAGATTCTCACGTTATGTCATGACAGCGCTGTTTTTTAAACATTTTCAGCTTGGCCCTTTTCTATCTTTTTGAAATTTCGTACCTTTTTTTTTTCACTGTTTATCTTCTATCACTCTTCATCGAGTAATACATTAAATTCAAAACAATATAAGGTGACCTTCTTTTCGCGAATAATATCAAGGCAGGTTGTGCCATATAACTGCCCACAAATGCAAATTTCTTAAAACGTGTAAGAATTGTCCTTTTTCCGCTTTCTTCATATCATTAACGTACACGTACTGAGAGAGATATTTCCTTTTTGTGATTTCTTATTTCTAAGCTTCAACAGCACGAGTTTCTGCCGTTTAACTCTTTAAGTCTGGTTTCCATATGATCGCTTTGTGATCGCTACGATCCCTGCGATCGCTGAGAAGAAAAAGTTTAGCAATCGCATCGATCATAGTGATCATATGGAAACCACTCTCCAGCGATCGTAGCGACAACAATCGCTGAGATAGAACTTTTTCTATCTCCACGATCGCTGGAGAGTGGTTTCCATATGATCGCTGCGACTGCTAAACTTTTTCTTCTAAAAACTTCTTCTTCTGGAAACCACTCTCCAGCGATCGCAGCGACAACAATCGCTGAGAGAGAACTTTTTCTATCTCCGCGATCGCCGATCGATCACATCGCAGCGATCACATCGATCGTAGCGATCATATGGAAACCAGGCTTTAGAGAAAACTTAGCTCGAGTACGTTTACAGTTGCATTCCCCTGAGATAAAAGAAACTGTGTCACGAAATTTATCAAAATTCAGACAGTGAGAGCTGCCAAGAAATTGTGTAAAGTATAAAAATAACCCCTTAAAACGTTGCAGGAAAGTATAAATAACACAGCAACTACAATGCAATATGTATATAGAAGGCACGGATGGATGAACTTGAAGAAGATTAAAACGGATTGCAATTGCCGTTTGCCTAACAGCTTTTCAAATTTCATTCTTGTTGTTTGTAACGTTGATATAATGTTGATAGTTGGGAAACAAATTTGCCTTACAGAGGCATTTACCTTTTTAACGTGCAAATGTGGGTTTTATTTTTCACTCTCAACGACAAAGCAGGTTATCCTGTTCTAGAAAAATACTGTCTTACGTTATTGTAATGCACAAACGTCCTTCGCCCACGCCGTAATTTTACACTAGTTTTTTTTTTCAAACTTCCCGATATCTCGAACCAATTTCCTTTTTCCAAGGAAGTTCGAAGAAACGGGATTCCACTGTATGAGGGTTTTTCGAACACTTGAAAGAGAAACCGCAGTTCCATCATCAGTCACTCGAGTTCCGTTTAGAATATCTTCCTATTCTAGGTTACGAACTGAGTTGCTAGCTCGCGGGAAAATTTTTGCACTGGATGTTTCGATTTAGCGAGCAAAAAGAAAGAAAGAAAGAAAACAGAAAGGAAGAACACTATCTGACACCATGTACAAAGTCGCATTTTTAATGTTCTAAAAATAAAAAGGTTACTATTTTTGAATAATTCAAAACGCCATTCATTCACTCATAGACAAGGAATTCAACTACTTATCGAAAGAGTTTCGAGTCTAGAAACGACTAGCAAGGGAGTAACTGATAGCCGTGAATGTTGGATCGTGGGTCGGGGTTTACCAGGTTGATATTTGATTTTTATGATATGCGATATTTGATACCAGAGAGGATACTTGTGGCTGAACACCCATCCAAGTACTGATCCCGCCCACAGGGTTAACTTAGGTTACATCAAGACTATTTTTTCCGTGTAAAACTGTTTTAAAGTTTTGGAATCTTTATCTACAAAATTTCAAGAATGCTTTGCTATGCGTACTGAATGATAAGGTGGAAAAATGTGATAGGGATATCAAGAAAACAAGAAAGCTGGGTCTTACGTTAAAGTTTGCAGCAAACTTAGCCTTTGTCCCCCGAGTTCCGTCACGTATTGAGGGACAATCATCACAATAACCACCTAACCAACAGAAACCGGAAACGGGCTTTGAGAAAGTCTACCTTCTCGAAAGCACATTGTTGAAGAACTCCACTGACCACGAGTGATGGATCAGCGGAAGCTCAAGAACGAGGCCGAGCCACACAAGGCAGGCAGGCAGGCTGTAAGAAACAGAAGGGGTCCTCTCCCCCACCTGTTGCACTCACGTGACCAGATAAGAAGCCATATTCTCCAAAGGAACAAACTTTACCAATCGAATCACGCTCACAATTTTGAGGAAACGGCCGCAAGATCACGTAAATAACGATTTGTTTCACAAACAGAGCAGTTGATCACCGACACTAGAAATCGAGACCAGGGACTGGCAGCTATCCTACCCCCCCCCCCCCCCCCCCCGCCCCCCCTCCCCCCTTTTTTTCTGTTGTCCGTG